ACTTCCCGGCATGAAACCCATACATATGGCAAGGTGGGATTATAGCACGACACAAAAACTACTTACCGTAGTCGACAATTATTTGAGAATAAAACTCAAGTACCATAGAGTCAACTTTTGCTACATGACAAGTGAGGATCACTAAGCTTTTAGTAGGAATGTAGTCACTTAGTTCCTATAGCAAGAACGAATAGTAACTGCCTTGTACAGAACTACAGACCAGTTTACAGCAAGTCGCCCTACTACAAGAGGTCGACAGTGATATTCGTGGCAGACTACAAGCTCTTTACAACCGGTCGACTAAGGTGAACAAGATAACCGTTCTACGAAGACTGACAAGTTCACTTTGTCGGAACAAAAGCAATAAGAAAGTGAGACACAAAAACCTCGTAATAAATACTGGTCACAGCCGTGAGACAAACTGGACTAAACACAAATGAGGCAAAATCGGTTCTGCGGCGACAACAGCTACGGAAAAGTATTCTCATGTACCTATAAGCCAGAGAACGTACTGAGTGACAACTTGGCGACGAGGTATTTATCACAGACTTCCCGGATCAAACTTGCCACACAATCCTGAAGAACAGATCTACGTGACCTAGCAGAGGGATCCTTACAAGGTCCGTGACAGTAGTCGACGCTCTCTGATGAAGCACTTGACGTCGAATGGTCCAAGTCCCTATACAATACAAGGACGGACCTTCGCGCAGATGTCAGACCGACAAACGACAACAATCCTTTGCTGCCAAACCCCGAGAGACTCGACGTTCGAGATGGATGCGCTGAGCGAGAATGTCTATACAACTTCTACCAGTACCTACATACCTCATCCTGAGTACACAAAGTAACAACAAATTTCGTCACCAAGGAGGACTTCATGAGTCACCGAACTATAGCTCACATTCTTGGTATACGACTGGAGGGTCCTGTCAGTCCTTTTATATGACCCCATCCATTATAAGCGGACTGTGGCCAAAAAACTGATCAAGAATAAAACTATAATAAGAACAAGGATAACGTGAAAAGAGTTACGAAAATCACAAAAAACTTTTCTCAAAACTTAAAGGAAGAATAACTTTACACGATAAATAATTAGAACCGGAGGAACCTTTATTAACGGAAACTATTTCCGTGGTGATTGGTTTCAAGAAGGAGAGAGTAGGGTACAAAAAGACAATACTAAAAATTTCGTAACAAAGTCGAGAAATGTAAAAACAAACTCTGTTAAAGATGGTCGCTTTAGACCAAAATAGTGTAGCAATATTACAGTGACGTAGAACGCATTCGGTTGTAAATGTCTCCTCATTGAACAAAATGACCTTTACTAGTTTACCACGGAAAGATATTGTCCAAATATTGACTTACACACATAACGTGATACCGTTCGTGACCCTCCTTCCGACATTGACACATTTAATGTAAGGGAAGTCCAACTGTAGAACTCTTTGATTGGAAAAGATTTCTCAGGAGAGGACGACTACAAGTCACATATAGTCATACATCACAGACTGAATGAAATTTCTCAGGATAGGACGACTCAAGTCCACATATAGTTCATCATCACAGAGATGAAATTTCTCAGGAGAGGACGACTACAAGTCTCACATATAGTCAATACATCACAGAGATGAAATTTCCAGGAGAGGACGACTACAAGTCAACAATAGTCATACATCACAGAGATTAAATTTCTCAGGAGAGGACGACTAAAGTCCTACATATAGTCATACATCACAGAGTGAAATTTCTCAGGAAGAGGCACGACTACAAGTCCACATAAGTCATACTCACCCAGAGATGAAAATTTCTCAGGAAGGACGGACACACAAGTCAACAATAGTCATACAGCACAGAGATGAAATTCTAGGAGAGGACGACTAAGTAATAGTCATACACACAGAATGAAATTTCTCAGGAGAGGACGACCACAAGTCAATATAGTCATCATCAACAGAGATGAAATTTCTCAGGAGAGGACGACTACAGTCCACATATAGTCATACATCACAGAGATGAAATTTCTCAGGAGAGGACGACTATAAGTCACATATAGTCATGACTCACAGGATTTGAAATATCTCAGGAAGACACGTACTAAGTCACATTAGTCATACATCACAGAGATGAAATTCTCAGAGAGGACGACTACAAAGTACATATAGTTACATCACAAGAAGATGAAATTTCTCAGGAGAGGACGAACTACAAGTCCACATAATAGTCATACACACAGGATGAATATCTCAAGGACGACTACAGTACATATAGTCATAATCACAGAGTGAAATATCTCAGGAGAGACGACTACAAGTCCACATATAGTCATACATCAAAGATGAAATTTCAGGAGAGGACGACTACAAGTCCACATATAGGTCTATACGATCACAGAGATGAAATTTCTCAGGAGAGGCGACTACAAGTCACCATATAGTCATACATCGGCAGAGATGAAATTTCTAGGAGCAGACGACTACAAGTCACATAAGTCATACATCCACAGAGATGAAATATCTCAGGAGAGGACGACTACAAGTCAATATAGTCACAGCACAGAGAAAAATTTCTCAGGATATCTTGTGTGTGAAGTCTTTTACCCATTTTGGGGTTTTCGTAGATATTCGTTCCGGCGTGTTGTAGAACGTATGTTACTAACGAGTTAGCTATACTGGGTAAACTGGTAAAGGTTCGCGTGTACTTGATGTAGTGAGACAATGACATGGGACTTTACAAGATAGTGCTCGCAAGAACTGCCTGTCTCATCTTTGGCGCATCTGTGTTCTTATGCGGTTATACTTGTAGCGTAAGAGTATGAAGGACGTTTAGACGTATTATTACGAGCTTTCACTATGTACAGGTCGGATTCGATGTGGTGGAGTAGTCGTATTATATTTTGGTGTGTGGGTTCTGTTAGTCAGATTATGGAGTGATCTTATGTTCTACTTCGAGACACATGGTTAGAGCTTGGCTGGATTTTTGGTAACACAAATGGTTTATTGGTGTGGGATGGTTGGTGCGTTGTGATTATTTGATAGTATATTGTTGATGTTTTTTTGAGTTTTGAGTTATTAAATATGTTATTTGGTTGGATTACTGTACCGAACGAATATAACGTTAAACGTAAAAAATTGAGAACGTGAAAAACTTTTTGGAAGTAATCTCAGGTGCTGCGTCGCAGCGTACGAGTAGCATGTTCCTGCAGCCCATGCTCCGGGCAGGGCTGCAGGAACGCAGCGTTCAGTGCAATTTCAACACGTCATAGAGCGACCAAGTCATTTCATTGGACGAGAGGCATACTATGAGAGGTGGTCACAGGGATGCGTTCAAATTTAGTCAGTAATTTGAGGAACTGTCGAAATGGCAAACGCAGATAAAGTTGAGCTCGAAAATCCTCCAGCATCATTGAAGTCTCCGGTTTGGGAACATTTTGGTTTCGCAGTTACGTACAAGGATGACGGACAAAGACAGGTGGACCGAACCAAAGCTGTTTGTCGGCATTGTTCAACTACAATTGGTTACGCGGCTGGCAATACATCAAACTTGCACGCTCATTTGAAAAGGCATCACCCGAACGTGAATATCACCAATACCAAAAGAAAAAAGACTGAAGTGCAAACCCAACTCCCACTACTGTAGCATTTAAGCCTCCACCACTCGCAAAAAGTTCAGACCGAGCCAAAGCTATTACGAACGCCAAATACCCTTATGTTGCCATGTTAGCAAAGCGCTACCTGGCTGTATCTGCTCTGTCCCTAGCGAGAGGGTGTTCTCCACAGCAGGAGACATTGTTAGTGCCAGCAGATCTGCCCTTTCGGCAAGCAAGTTCATTTTTCTTTAAAAAAACATGAAAATACAATGACAAGCAAGTCATAATGTCAAGCTAATAATGTCAATGGCTGCTTAGGTACTAGTACAGTTCAAATACAGATTATTTCAGTTCATCGAAATGCTGCACCTTAATGTTTATTTTATTATATTTTGTATTTATTTGAGAGAATACATTATTCACAGTTTAATAATAATAAAAAATATATATATATATTTTATGTTTTGTGATAATTGTTTCTGCTGTACCGAAAACGTACCGAACCAAACCGTGACCTAAAAACCGAGGTACGTACCGAACCGTTACACCCCGCTTCACACTCAGTTGCGAACCAATCCAGTGAGTGCTGAAGGTCGCAGACCGATGAAGCCATTAGAACCACATCATCTGAAAAAAGCAGTGGTGCAATCCTTAGTCCACCAAACTGCAGACCCCCTCCCCAACGACTACGCCTCGAAATCCGATCCATGTATATTACAAACAGGATTGGTGACAAAGCGCAGCCCTGGCGGAGGCCAACCCTCGCCTGAAATGGGTCCGACTTACTGCCGAGGACCCGGACACAGCTCTCGCTTTGGGAGTACAGAGATTGGATGGCCCTGAGTAGAGACCCCCTCACCCCATACTCCTGCAGCACCCATTCCTTCTACCATCTAATTTCTTTAGCTGTGAAAACGTTTCCCTCCAACTGTATTAGTCAACTACTTTTTACACATTTAGAACTGAAAACATAACTTTATAGTTTACCTTTGCCCAAAAGTAAAGAGCTTACACGCACCGTTATTCAAACATAAGGAAGCTTCTCTAGAAAATAGCCAATGATTATTTTCTGTCAACTGACTAGTTGATTAGTTGACTAATGGTTGCAGCTCTACTTCTCTGTAATACAAATCCACTGTATTTCAGTATAATATTCTAGGCATCGCCCTTTTGGTTCCTGCAGAGAAGGTCACTTGCACACATATCGACACGCACAGAGCCTGGAGCAGAGAGAACTGAGAAATGTCCTCGAGGCACAGTTTTAGATTGGATTCCTGTAGCTGTGCTCCTTTTAATTTGTCTGTCCGTTACAACCCTTGGAATATTCAGCACATACTCCATATAACTGTTCAGTAGTATATAGGAATAATTATTTCTTATATATTGTATCTTTGCAGAAGCATTTATGACACCATTGTTTGTCAAATCTTAAAATACGGTTGAATCCTTTTCTTTCATCCTTATTTTAAACCCTTACTTAGTTTTAGGTTTCCTTCGTGGTAAAAGAAAAGCAAAGGGCTTTTGCTCACATAACTTGTCTTTTAGGCCTTTAATTAAATGAATGTTGTTCATGTGCAGTTATAAATCAGTGCTTCTGCTTTTTCAGCATTAGAAATCATTAGATATTAAAATATAATGAAAAGATATGAGGAAAGACAGAATAGCTAATATGATAGACGCACTGTAAATCAAAGTGGAAATAGCGTTTCTTATTATATCCGTACCCTTTTTTTAACGCATTTCCCGGCCCCAAATCATTGAAATACTTTGACATTGAGTTACATTAAGTAGCATACTTTAAACACAGATTAAGGTGCTGTCCAATGTTATTTGAGCTTGTGCAAATATTTCTAGGAATGGCTTCTTTCTTTCAGGTGTCCTCACAGTTCGTCAGTTGGGACCGACTGCCAACATGGGAATATTTAAAAGAACATAAATTATTTAGGGAGCTACTCCTTTCAGCTGTTGGTCGATCTCTTACAGTCAATGATGATGCCTTCTGTAATGAGTAAGTTAGCCAAGGCAACAATACAAGAAAACAAATCATAGGAATGTTGAAGAAAAACTGTGTGTGTGTGTGTGTGTGTGTGTGTGTGTGTGTGTGTGTGTGTGTGTGTGTGTGTGTGTGTGTGTGTGTGTGTGTGTGTGTGTGTGTGTGTGTGTGTGTGTGTGTGTGTGTGTGTGTGCAACCCACCCCTCCTCTCCTCTGGTCTCAGCCCATGCTATCTTCTGTTCCAGAGATGGAGACAGAAATGTTAGCACCTGACAGCCAAAGTGTTTGTTTCTTGGCAGAACGTATCATTATTCAAATGAGTGTATTCAAAAGCAATACATTAGCTAGAATTAATTAGTCTTTTGCATATTTTAGCATCATCAATTCCCATGGAAATCAGCGAGATTGCTGCAAAATGTCGCTTGGTATAAAATTGAACACGGATGGAAGTAAGGAATTTCCATTTCCTAGCTCTGGAGGGGTATTAAAATAATTAAATGTAAGACTTATATGTATTGTATATGCAACTTGCTTCTTCTGCAGAAACCCTGCTTGCAGAGGACAATAGGCTCTGCAGGGGAGGAACACAGAAATGGCAAAGAAGTGAAGCCATGCTATGCTTATAGACTGCCAATGCAGTACTGCCATTTGAATGTTATAGTGAAATTTAATTAAAGTCATCATTGTTTCTTAACAGGAAGAAGAGTGATCATAAGGGTTAATACTAATGGTTTGTTCACACTGGACGCAAAGAAACTGACTTTACGCACGATTACATGTAAAGTCAATGCATAGACATGAGTTTGCGGTGGGAGTGAAGGGTTACGCTTTTTTCCAAATGCTAATGAGCGGCGAGAATCTCAACCTTTGATCACTGACATTGTTGAATCAGAAAGCCAAAACTAAAGGTCAGCCATTAGCTCCGGGCGACGGCACACAGCTCACAGCTCCTCATATTTGTTTAAAAACTAGACAAGTCAGTCTTTATAACTGTTCAACCCACAGAATGTCTATGGCATGGCGAAGGGATTTGCTGCTTTATTTACGTCTGTATGATGTTATTATTTAAAAGTATTTTCTCTGCCGTCTTGTAAGCACACATGGTTTTTACTAACCGGTATCAGTGGGTAGTTATTTCGGCATCATTTTGATATGTGTATTACAAATAAATAAAGTCTAAATTCTACTTTTTGTTATTTTGTTGGTTTACATGAAGATAAGCCCTGCCTCCTCGCCAGTTGGAGTGACGCAAGTAAAAACAAATAATGCTCGGTCAAACTTGCACCAGTACCGCCCGTCGTATCTCTGCTCTGCATCCGCTGTGAACGCACCTTAAGCTCATGTGCTTTCAACATTTATGCCAACACAGTATCGGTCTTTTATTTGAAAGTAAATTCCCAACTTTTAGCCACCAGTTAAAACTATAAATTACTTTATCAATATATCCCCATTTCTTAATATTTTCTCAATACATTTAAATTCTTAACACAAACATACACAGACACATCACTAATTAAACAAACTGACTTTGGTGGCTCTGCTTCTCTGAGATTTTTCCACCGAGAAACTGATTTACATTTTATCCCAAAAGCACTTCTTGCATTTAACCTTTTTATGTATTTTTCAGCTTGTTTGCCAAGGGGAACATCATTGCCTCGACACTGAATATGTTGGTGTGTTTTATAAAGCAACACATCTGTTGCTATTAATTGGTGTCTTGCATATTTTACAAGTTTATTCCGGGAAGCGCGCATCTGCAGAAGCCACGGAGTCGCTGGAAATGTCAGATGTAAATTGTGCCAATTTTACTCCTCAGGCTCCGCTGTTAGATGGACAAATTGAAGTCGGGCGCCAGACACACACACACACACACACACACACACACACACCACCCTAGTTGTGTCTATTGCTTTTCTATAAGTGTGTGTTTTATAGGGTTTTAGATCTGACTCATAAAATAGCTTTTAAAACATTAGTCTCACTTTTGTAGATACAAAAAAAAGAAGTTCATTTGTAAATGTGACAGTAATGGAATTCAATTTATTATTTCTATTCATCATTATAATATTTGAAATGTCCAAAATGCTGCGGCTGGGCCTTACATGTAAGTAGTTTCTGACTGGTAGCTGATTGGCTGCTTTGCCTTTCCCCAGTTCTTAAAATATTTGTCTTTCTATCTTTTCAGGTTTTTAAGAATCTTAAACTTTTCATGGAAAACAAATCACCTGGAGATGACGTCTTCGATCGCCTCACTGTGAGTCTATCGCTAACACTCACTGCTAACACTATTTGTGCATGTTTCATTGATACCAGCCAATCTTGATGTTTAGTTTTGAACCTCTAGTGAAACATTGCCAAATAAGAATCTAGATTTGAGGATTTAATGATTCAAAGGCTTTATTCTCATATGCACAAAAGCCACAGTGTAGTTGTTGGCAATGACGTTCTTTAAGGGGCCTTTTTTGGTTGGTCCCTTTCCTATACTGTGTTGTATAGGTTTTTGTGCATAGTCTGCAAAACCTAAAATACAAAGTTCCCTCAAGAGGGAGTTTCTCACCTGCCTGAAACGCCTCCATTGAACTGCTTTGTTTATTTGCGTATCATAATGACATCACTATGTAACTCTTGCGCTTCTATTGGCTAGAGCTTCAACACATTGTAAGTACATCATATGCTGAGGGGTGGGACAATTCGCTAAGCGGTTGGCCAGTCATAACAGAGCCTACCAGCTAACCAATCAGAGCAGACTGGGCTCTGGTTTCAGACAGAGGGTGAAAAGAGGTGCTGCAGCACAGGCAGTATGAGACAAATAAAGAGCTTTTAGAACATGAAAGCATGGAGACATGTCGCAGTAGAGGCTCAAAATACATACATAAATAAATACCGTACAGTGGAATAAAATACGTTTTATTTCATAATATATAACTATGTGGATTGTAAACAGATGAAAGACACTTCACACTACTCAGGAAGTCTTATTTTCAGTGGATTTTGGTGTTTGGAAAATAATTTGAGGAAAAATGTCAACATGTGCTTAAATATATTTGCCAACTTTGTTTAAATAAGTACGGATGGTGGAATAAATGTGAGAAAGCAAAATAGAATTATTTAAAAAATATATTTTCCGGGTAAAAGAAGGCTGCAACGAAGGAAAAGCGGGGACTAAATTGTAAGGTGTAAGAGAGATGAGATTGAATGAGCTCGAGCCGTTGGGGTGGGAGAGATGAAAGGGGTAAAGTGAGGAAAAGGGAAAGAATATTGGAAGCCGGCAGACTGAAAGAGTTTCAAAAGAGAGAGGGGATGGACCCTGGCAGATAAAAATGAAACTGTGCGAGTAGAAATTGAGAGTGAGCATGCTGGGTGGATGAATTTCCACACATCGAAATCTGCCATCCTTTCAACCTCTTCCTCTAGCTGCTGGCGGGAAGGCCACACACAATGCAGCTGTCCAACACATGGTTAGCCCCCCGCAGGGAGACCTGGGACTTCTCAGGGTTCTTAGTCTTTATGTAACAAGATAACAGCATTATTTGTCTATTTAAGAATACACCCCAGGCAGATTGTCCTTGTTGAGGAAACATATTAAGAATTGTTTAATACTAACAGGTTTCATCCAGTGGAAACCAAGCGATGGGTACAGCAGCTAACAGCCGGGCAAGGCAGCCTTGGTTCTTTCATTGCTGAGAAATCCCTTATCTTGTGAGACGGTGCAACAGATGAATGGTCACTTTGAAGAGGAGGTCAATAGAGTTGTCCACAGATTACATATTATTGTAGGCTTACCTGGAAGTTAGCAATACAAGGGCTCCCTCGTCAAAAAGCATTTTTTGCTGTTATTGCAGAAATTAAGCCCTTTGGCAAACCATTGTTCGCAATACCTACTTGTTTTGTTAAGCAGGATAATCTCCACAAATTGACACCAATGATACCACCTTTGCTTTTTTAAGCACAAATGCAATAAGCAGATTTGCAAAAAGCTAACGTTAGGCTAAAAACAAACAACATCGCGGTAGCATGGCTTCACGTCACCACCGCTAAGCTAAAGATGCTAATGTTTGCTTTGATGTCTTTTAAGTAGTCTCGTTTAGCCACCGTCGTTTTTAGGACATAGAAGCTTCAGACTTTCACCAGTGACGCATTTACTCACGTATTTTAATCTCGTAGAACAAAACTTAAAAATCTTGCATTAACCACAGTCCTTATTTTAGGCTTCTAACCAAAATCATATTAAAAATCTGAATCGGACATAAGGAGAATTAAACATAAGAAGTAAAAGATGCAATGAGATAAATAGACATAAGAAATGCAAGTAAACATAAGAAGACATGTTCCTGCCTTATTGACGGAGGAAATAGTTAAACAATCTCAGGGGTTTTGCTAGAAAAATATAGTATGAAGGCGCAAATGTACCTTCCGGACAAAATGGCGGCCCGCCCACTTTCCGCTGAAAATAATGCATTAGAGCCAAGCGAAAAAAGTTTCTTCATGTCTTAAAGCTGCTGAGTCATATGTTGCACCTCAAACAACAAATACATCCCTACTTACGGTTCTTTACTTCCTCTACAGAAAAAACGTAAAAACAAAGCTGTCTATGTGACACGATTTTCATATTTTATATTCTATACCGTTTTTGAAATATTGTTTTTTAGCATCACTTTCAAATTTTATAGGGAAAATCAGTATTTTGATATCAGGGCGCACGCCGGAAGGAAGGACTTCCTGTGGCGCTTTTTGGTTCATCTTTGTGGAATGAGTCTTTCACTAAAGGTACACCTGTGCCTGACCATGGCTGTCATGGAGTGATAGACTTCAAGACGAGGTAACCAGAAGTCGTAAATCAAATAAAACAAATTCCCGGGTTTTATGACTCATTCCTGCACTCTGAGAAGGAGGCAGAGAGAGATGCGGATTAGAAAGCACCTGGAAGTTCTAGTGTCAGTCACGTGACACTATCTCAAGATTGACAGGCATGAAAAGGGAGCTCCAAACGGGGACAGGGAGTGAGAGGGTGAGATGAAGAGATGGAGCAATTGAAGGAAAGAGTGCGCCGCCTCTGCTCCCTGCCCTCCAGTGTGTCAAGAAATGTCAGGGTGTGTTGGAGGTGAAATGGTAATGGCGTCTGTGGGCAGGCCTGATTGGCACCCGTAAAGGCCAGGCCACTGAGAGAGCAGAGAGGATGGGGGGAGTTGGAGGAGATGGAGAGGTAGAAATGTGACAGCTGGTCCAGGTGAGGGGGGGTGAAGAGGGAGAAGGTGGAACATGGCTGGAAAAGAGTAGGAGGTGGGAGAGAGGGAGGAAGGGATAGAGTTGTGGAGGAGGCTTTCATTCAAATGTTTCAGTATTATTTTATCGGTGGTTTCTTCTTCTTCTACTTATTGGTTTTTAACTCATGTGCACCTTTTATGAGTTTGCTTTGTGTGTTCTTATATCTAAAGTGGGCGCCGGGTACCTGGCAGCCTCTCTGCTCTGCCACCTCTCCTATCTGCATGTGGTGGTGTTTGTGCATGTACAGTATATCCTCCCTGTGTGTGTAATGTGTGTAAACACAACAGAGTGGGGAAAGAAATGTCCCTGTAAGGGATTAATAAAGTATGTCTTTTTCTTCTTCGTCTTTCTGATGATCAATTAGACCCTCCAGAAAAACGCGATTCTGCGATCGCAGAATTTACCGCATAATCAGCAAAATGGCGCAGATTTTTAAAAGGCCGCATATTTATCAAAAGGCCGCATAATCCCCGCATTTTTCCACACAAAGTTGAGAAAAAAAAAAAGTTGACTCGTCTTGACGTGACGTCATCAGCTCGCTCATCACAGAATGTAAACAACACTGTATAGAGTGAACGTGTGGAGCTCACACGATAGAGAAAACACCAAGATGAAAAAATCTAATCCATCTCATTTACCGATGAACATTTCTACTAAAGACCGGGCAAAAAGTGGGGGGAAACTATTCTGCACGCCGTGCAACTGTGTGTTGGAGCATAAGAGAAAATCGACGGGGACGACCCACTTTGATTCATTCAAACATTCGAAAATGCTTTCTGCTGCTGCGGACAAGAAAGCCAAACAACTCACGTTCAGCGAGGCATCAACCTCCAAAACCCTTTCGAGGGCTACAAGAAACGAAGTGAGTAGCCTACAAGATTGAAGCTGGTCAGATAACGAACGAGTAAATGAAAAC